ATACTCCACCTTCTTGATTCCAAAAGCACACTTACTCATAACACATAAAAAACCTGTTTCAAATGAACCTTATGAGCTTCTAAGTCAGTGCTATATATTAATTTGTCATAAAAAAATATCAGCACAAACTTCCTCAAAAAATCTCTAAATATATGATTCATGAATGCTTGGAGAGTTGCTGGTGCATTGGTCAACCCAAATGACATCACCAAGAACTCAAAATGGTCATAATGGGTCTTAAATGGTGTCTTGTATACATCATCTTTATGAACCCTCAACTGATGATACCCAGCCCTTAGATCAATCTTTGAGAATATCTTAGATCCTGCTAATTCATCAATCAACTCATCCATAATTGGTATAGGGAATTCATCTTTGATAGTCTGATCATTTAAAGTTCTGTAGTCAGTGCATAACCTCCAGTCACCATCTTTCCTCCCTACCAACACTACAGGTGAGGCATATGGTGATGCACTTGGCTGAATAGCATCCTTTTGCAATAATTCCTTGACTTTCTCTTCAATTATGTCTTTTTGCTTCAAAGGATACCTATATGGTCTCACATTTACCGGTTGAGAACCTTCCTTCACTGGAATTCTATGATCAGAAACCCCTCTGCTAGTTGGTAGTCCTTGAAGCTCTTAAAATATCTGCATATTATTCAATCAAAAACTGTAAACATTCAGGAATGACATGCTTATCTGAATCACCAACCATATTAATTCCAAAATGTTTCCCCACATATTCATCACCATCTTCATCTGATTGAGCTTGGCACTGAATCAAACATAACGGAGTAGTTTGATTAAATTGCTTCTTTGTTCCCTGCATTGCTTTCAGAGTACCTAGTTTCAGTCCCCTCAATACAACTTGTTGCTTTTTATATTGAAACTTCATATATAAGTCCTGAAAATTCCAATGAATTTCTCTTAAAGTACTCAACCACTGCACACCCAAAACCATATCCTAACCACCCAATGGAAGAACCAAAAAATCTCCCTGAAAATAAGCATTTGGTTTGAGAGCCATCAAGTACTGCTAGTCTGCTGCAGTCAAAGGTTTCACTTCTTCCAATCTGCACCCTAATTTCTTAGCCATATTCAGGTTTAGGAAATTGTGTGTACTGCCTGAGTCCACCAAAATCAACAACTTCTTCCTATCAACATATTCATTCAATCTCATGGTTCTATAATCTGCATAGCCATTGATTGCATGGAATGATATCAAGGGTTCTTCCTCCTATATAAAATACTCATTATTGCTCTCTTGTGGTAACAACTCTTCACCCTTATCCTCCATCTGGTTACCAGTGATTTCAACCAAAAAGAGTTGTGTACCCTTATGGTTACACACATGCTCTTTGTTATAGGGTTGGTCACAGTAGTAACATAAACCCTTAGCTCTCTTCTCAGCTCTTTCATTAGCTGATACAAGCCTTCTAGGTACAGGTGTACTACCAGTCTTAGATGGATCAATAACCATCTTTGGTGGCTGATTTGGTGTTGGTAGTAAAGGTTTGTTTAGAGCTATTTTCTGGAAGTTTGCAGATTTGGCCTGTACTGTAATAGCTTCAACTGTTTCATCCTGTAGCCTTGCAAATTCTATAGCTTCTGCCATGTTTTTGGGATTAAAAGTCTTAACAAATGACTTTACTGTAGGTTTTAATGCAGCCAGAAAACAATCCAAAAAATAGCTGGATGGCAGTTTGGGATTCCTCTGTAACATAGCAGCCTTGAGAGTTTCAAAGTCATCAATAAAGGTCTCCAACAGTCCAGTATGCTTCAAACTATTAAACCTTTGAACAACTTTATTGCTCAGATTATCATTAAATCTAGCATTCAAATGAGCAAGAAACTGCTTCCATCTTAACTTCTTCTTGGACCCTATATAGTGTCCAAACCAGCTCGCTGCCCTACCTTCTAAATACAATGAGGCTAGATTGACTTTTTGATTATTAGGAATATTGCAAAGTGTAAAATACCTCTCACACTTCTGAATCCACAGTTTTGCATTCTGACCTTCAAAAGTAGGGAATTCTACTTTAGGCGTGAATCAGAAGGCATTTTGATTTGATGATGCAGGCTTGGCAATGATTCCATCCACTTCATCTTCAGATGAAGATTCTTCTCCAGATTTTGATTCATCGCCTTCACTTGCTTCGTCCTCCTCAGATGCACTTTTATTCTTCTTCAATTCCACCACTTTCTTCATGATCTTACTCATCATATCCATCATGTTTTGATTCTCCAATTTCTGATCAAACTCCAACTGGATTACCTTTAAAGCCTCATATATTTCAGAATTAGAGTTCCTTGTCTGCACCATATTTCCTCAACTTAACTATACGAATGAAGTTTTTGCACTTTGATTATCAGTAATTTGATCAAGAGTCTCTGATACCAATGACACAATTCAGGTTATCTTTGTAAATGAATAGAATTAGATAACGAGAACTTGTTCAGATAGAACACAAAACTTTAGCATGAGGGGAGAGGTTTAGGGAAGAAGATGATTGTATTATTCATGATGATCTATTCTGTACAAAAGAAGCTATATAATGATTGAGCTTGAATCAAAGTTAGCTCAACCCTCCAACTAATTCTAACTAACTTTGACACATGTCATTATTTCATAAGCTTCTAATTACAATGCTTAACAACTCATAATTGATATATCTTGATGATGTCGCTTGATCAACTGTAACTGTATTAGAAGAAATTTGAGAACTTGAAACATCTGCTTTGGATGAAGCTTGCGAACTAGAAGAAAATGTTGGCGTGGAATATTGCGAAAGACACAGAGAAACTGCTTGCGATGAAGACGGTGAGCAATACGAATTTAAGGGTGACAAAAATGAAGGGTAAGGATCGGCTAGTAAAGAATCCGGCGAACTTGGAGGAACTGTTCGCGTCTGCAAACTGGGAGATTCTCCCGTTGATCGTGTCGCACTTTGATGCGAACTGAGATCTGATGAAGGAACCTGCGAAGAAATCTGCGATAAAACCTTCGAACGGACATAATCTGTTCGCCTTGAAGTTCTTGATCTTCCTCGCTCACGTCGAGCGTTCTGCTGGAAAATCAATTTGCGCAGATCTGTGAAGTCATTCCGCCTTTCATTCCGCCAGTTCCGCATCTCCTCGCGTTGGTTCCGCATCTCCTCGCGTTGGTTCCGCATCTCCTCGCGATAACGTTCAAAATTGCGCTCCAGGATTTCCAGTCTATTTTCTACCGTTCCTAGTGTAGTAACCCGTGACAGGCGGCAGGAATGAGGCTCTGATACCAATGTTAAGTATGTAGCTAATTCACAATGAAATTCAAGAAACAAAGATGAACAGAGATGTGCGTACAACTGAAAGGGGTCATATTACAGAAAATAGAGAGAGAAATACAAAGGCAGTTAAAGAGCGCCAACTCTCCAAGTTCCAGGCCCAAATGATAATTCCCAACCTCCCTTCTATTCTACCCTCAACATCTATTGATACTCACTCTAATATTGTTCTTATTTCTTATTATTCTATGTGGGTCCCTATCACTGGGCTCAGGGGCGGAGCTAGAAAATTGTGTGAGGGGGGTCGGAATTTAATTATATACATTATCAAAACAATAGATAGTTGTTATACAATACTTGAATTGAATGTTTCATATGTAGCTGAGATAAATGGTAGTTTTATAAGCATTTTTCGGTTAATGTATTGATATATGTGTAATGTATCATAATGTTCACACAATTAATGACTGAATAGGGTGTGCCAAGCACCTTGTGGTTCGATGGCATCACTGTGATACTCCCAAGGATCAGGTCACATATTCGAAACTCATCCCAATCAAGGATGTTGGCATTTAACAGAACAAAAAATGACTGAATAAGGTGTTTTATTTTTAAATCTAAGAATATAATCAACGTCCCACATCAAATTTTGCTTATTTCAAGTTAAGATGATGCTGCTTTTTCCAGAAGTCGTAACTTTTTACTCGTAATGAGTTACGGGACCCATAATATATCAAATCGAAGGTATTTCAGAGCTCTACATTCTTGAACTTTCAGCGGGGTCGGCTGACCACCCTGACCCCCCCCCTTGGCTCCGCCCCTGACTGGGCTCCATAATTCAGAAGAATGGTGCACTAAATGAAGAAGTATTTATAGAATCAGAACATGGTGGATGAGATTGAAGAATGCATCGTGATTTTTATTTAATCGAGATATGCTAACTAGACTGAAGTGTGAGTTTAATCGGACATCATTTAAGCCAGAATTACTCTATGGCGCAAAGTGTTGGGCGGTGTAACGATGGTCAAATTTAAAAATGAGTATGGCTGAATCGTGTATGTTGCGTTGGATGTGTGGAAATACTAGAAAAGACCGCTTGATGAATGATACACAAAAGGTGGAAGTAACACCTACTGAAGATAAGATGCAAGAATCTCGATTGCGGTGGTTTGGTGACTTTGGTCATGTGCGTTGAAGACCGAATGATGCACCTCTTAGACGAATTGAGAGCTGGGGAGACGATACAGGGAGGAGAGGGAGATGTAGACTCAAAGAAACGTTGATTAGAGGGGTCAAGAATGATATGACACTTCTTGGGTTGGATGAGAGTATGACTTTGGAGAGAGAATATATTTGTGGAGGATTGATCTCATTGTATCTTTGTTATCTTCTCTATCTTTTTAATCCTTTTTATATTAAGTTTTTATCCTTTTATATCTTTGTTATCTTCTTTATCTTTTTTTATGCTTTTTATATTAAGTTTTTATCCTTTTATATCTTCTTTATCTTTATCTTATCTTTTTCTATCTTTTGAGCTCCGATTTCATATGTCGGTTTATGTTAAACTCTTGGGATTAAGACTTGGATATTGTTTGTGCTGTTGGCCCTATGTAATTAGTAGATATACATCTGATGCTCCAGGAATTGCAATGATGATATAAGATCTCTCTTATTTTACATTGCACTTGTTCAAACATGAAGTGTAAGCAGTTTACCTTCTTTGAATGTTCAGGATAGGATCTTGAAGGTGGTACTATTAGTATCATCCTTTGCTAGCAGTATGAGACATCCGTTTTTAATAATCACTACCCATACTTCTCTTTCTCGATGGGAAGATGAGTTTTCATGTTGTGCACCATCAATCAACGTTGTTGTGTATAAAGGAAGTGAAGATGTTCGTTCTTTCATTAGGACTGTGGAGTTCCATAATGAGCAAGGTGCCATTATGTTCCATGTTCTTATCTCTCACTGTGACACTGCTGATCAGGTAAACCATCCAGTTCTTATCTCACACCCTTATGTGTTTGTGTTTTCTTTCCTCTGCCATTCCTAGTAGATGTATAAAATATTGCATCTTTTTGAACTTATATTGATTGTTTGAAGTGCTCTATTAGTTGTTACTATATTTCCTTATTTAAAGTTTGTGTTCACTAGCTGAAGGAAGCATAAAGACATGAAAAAGTGCTAAATGTTTCCTCCAATACTGTTACTGGACAGGATATTGAAATATTCAAGTCTATTAGTTGGGAAGCCATAATCATAGATACTAGCCAAAGATCATTTGCACCAAGGAGCTTAAGACAAATCACCGTGCTTTCCAGCAATAAGAAATTACTTCTTCTCCGTCAAGTAGAGGTAAATGTATATACATGCCAATTCTGGTTCAGACCGTTCAGTTCTGTTATTTTCAGATTGTTGAAGCACTCGAGGCTATGAAAGTTGCTTGATGAATCAGGACAGAAGATCTGACTACCGCAAATTTCTCTCGTTACTCGATCCAGACTATGAAGAGACAAATGGTGATTTTCCAGCGAGTAGTGGATCTGAAACGGAATACATGAAGTTGAAAGAACGGTTCACAAAGTTTGTTGCTTATGAATGCAAGACCTCTGCTATCTCTAAATTTATCGAGTACTGGGTCCCAGTCAGGCTCTCAGATCTGCAAGTTGAACAGTATTGTGCTTGCCTTTTGTCAAATTCACACTTGCTCTGCTCAACTTTGAAGAGTACAGATTCTTTCAGCACCCTTCATGACATACTAATGGCAACTCGAAAGGTTTGTCCTTCCAAACTCCTTTTCATCATCTTCGATCTGATTCCTTCATCACCTATTTGGTTGCTAACTTGGACTTACCCTTGCTCTTTTTTAACATAACCTTGAGTTTCCCTTCTGTCTAGTGCTGTGATCATCCTTACCTGGTGGATTGGACTTTGGGGAGGTCAATTGTGAAGGGCCTTCCAGTGGATGCCCATTTAGATGTTGAAATTGAACTTAGTGGAAAGTTACAACTCCTCAGTAGGATTCTAATCGAAGTTAGGAAAAGAGGCCTAAGAGTCCTAATTCTTTTTCAAGTAAGTTTTCTTCTGTTCTCTTAGCCATCATTCTTATTTAGTCATTTATTTCAGTACTAGTTGATGGATGAGTTTTATTTAATTCATGCGGGCAAATTTGAACCGTTTGTTCGTTCTCCATGACCTGTCAGGCTCTGCCTGCATCTGGGCAGATTTCTGTAGGAGACATTCTGGATGACTTCATTCATCAAAAATTTGGGAAAGACTGTCATGCACGCATTTGTGTGAACGTTTCCCCCCCAATGAGGCGATCCATACTGAACAAGTTCAACAGTAAAGAGAGTGGCAAGTTTGTGCTTTTGATGGAAACTCGTGCATGCTCTCCCAGTACTAAGCTTTCAGATATAGATAGTGTGATTCTGTTTAACAGTGACTGGGATCCGGCAAACGATTTCAGAGCACTCCAGAAGGTCAGCATTGATTCAAAATTTGAGCACTTGAGCATCTTCCGCCTGTATTCATCTTGCACCATAGAAGAAAAGATACTGATTCTTGCAAAGAGGGGGTTGACCATCGACAGTAAAATCAATAGGATAAAGCAGGCGACATGCCATGAGCTGTTGGCTTGGGGGGCCTTGTACCTATTCAGGAGGAGCAGCAGCAGCAGCAACAGTAATGTCACACAATATTTCAACACTCTTCTTGATGATGTGTTCTCTGAGCTGTTAAACCTATTACCCGGTGGAAGTGGGAACGCTGCTGCTGATAACAGCTGCTGCTTGAGGATTTCGAGAGTGGAACCGGCAGTTGACGGAGGAGCCTATGCGCAACAGAATATATCATTACCTGTGGAACTGGAGACACAGTTGATGGAAGATTCCTCATTTTTAGAAGGATTGATTGGTGAAGGACACACGTCTTTGTTCTGGATGAATTTGTTCCAAGGGAAGGGGTTATTTTTGTCTATACCCTCCTCTCGTACTAGAAACCGTCAGCCTTGGTCACTGAATAATGGCTTGGAAAAGGATGATTCTGATGACTCAGAGACAACACATCAGGAGTTCGATGAGGAGGGTATTAATGATGATGTTGGAAGCAGAGAAACTATGGGAAATAACCAACCACTGGCCGCTGTTTTTTCAGTCCAACAGTCTGCAGGGAATGTACCACTAACAGATACAACTGTCTCGCGAAACACAAAAGATTTAGGAAGAATTCATACTCCTCTTCATAGCGAAATGAACAAGATACAAGTGGAGAGAGAATCAACTATGAAACTGCATGAAGAATTGGTTTGTCTAAGTTTAAATTCCATGCTCTTTATTTGTGTCATCTTAACAATCTCTCTCTCTCTCTCTCTCTCTCTCTCTCTCTCCCTCTCCCTCTCCCCTCCCTCCCTCTCTCTCTGACCTTCCGAAATCAGAGGAAAGAAAGTATTTATGTATACATATTACTGATTTTGCATGCATTACGTAATGATTATTTTAAGAAATGAATGTATGTGTAATGTAGAAGTTGCTTCTCAAATCCGAGTTTGAGAAAGAATTGCGTGAGATAAGGAAGAAGTATGATTTGCTACTTGAGAACGTAGAGATGGAAATAGCCAAAAAGCAGGAAGAGTTTGATGCATGCTTCGCCAGGGTATATGTGAGCAAGTTGTTAGCTGAATTTATGGTTGAGAAGGTGAATAATGTGGTTGACTGTACAACTAATTTTCAACCCATGGAAAAAGGTATGCACACACACTTTGTGTCTTCATTGAATGACGCTGGTTGAAGGAATCCCCCAATCACTCAAACTTTGATTAGTATTTTTACTGTTTGGTGATAGTGAGCAGCGGAAAGTCTGTCTTCAGTAAAGGGACATATCAGCTCTGTTCCCAGCAAATGAGTTCTTATAAAGAAAATCAGCAGGAGAGTAATGCAATTGCTGCCCTTCCTGGAGAAGCATTATTGGGAAGCCAAGTAGACAGCGATGCACCATCAAGATCACAAGTGATGAGGACATGGAGACCTCCTCCAACCCGGGGTAATGGCCCTCTGTTCTTGCCAGTGACTTTGCAAGTTGGCGGTGTCCCTGATCCATCATCTGTAGCCGCCCATCAAACTAGGCCATTTTCGTGTTTGAGCTTTTCTGGGAACCTTGAAGCAAGGTTTGAAATCAGAGTCCCCCCTCCTCATCTAAGACGCCTGATAAGGTAACAGTTCGGCCTGGTTGTTATATTGTGTAGCGAGCACAAAGAACAACTCAGTTTTGTTCTTTTTTCTAATACCAGACGTCCAGATGCACAAACAACCTTGAGTGCCTATTTCTTGGGAATCAGCCTTTTTAACTCGTATGAAGAGTTCTTATTATTGGTTTTGCAGACACAAAAATGTAAATTATTGGCAAAAAAATATAAATTGTTGACACTACCATATAGTAAAATATGAGAGGGAGAGAAAAAAGCCTCACTGATATCGAGATTACTACCAGGGAGCCTCGCCTATTGGTTCATCTTTAACTGAACATGGGATATGGTTGGATATGGTTGAAATTTAGGAAATTTTCACTTGAATGGCTTCTAATTGTATACTCCATCTGTATTGCAATATTTGCTACACTTTCATTTTTGGGATTTATTATAATTTTTGCTACACTTTTTTCTTTTTGATAGGATTTCCTTTTAAAAACACTCAATTTACCCTTACTTTTTTTACTTTTTATTTTCTTTCATAATTTTCCACCATTTCTTCTACTTTTTCTACACTACTCATTACCCCTACTAGTTTTCCTTTGACTATTGTGGCAAACCCTAGTAACAAACATTTCAATATTGAGGGAGTATCAGATTAGATCAAATTAAAATAGACTAGTTCAGAACATATCAAACTTAGATAATACTATGTAGTAAAATACACATAATGTCAGACTTTACCAGACCTGATTATTAGCCTTGCTAATTAGACCGTTTCAAACTAGATTGGAAATTTTCTTTACAATTGAAACAATTAACATTCTTAAATGACAATTTAATCATTAAATTATAAAAGTATTACATCTATACATCACCGTTATCATTAATGATTTCATTATATTATATGCCCATCAAAACTATTTCTCAAAATTTACTCGAACTAACTTATTGAATATTGTCTAAATAACTGTACCATTTTAGGTACTATTACTTCCATCCCATTAACATAGGGACATGAGAAGGTGACACGATTATTAAGAAATGTGAGTTTATGTGATTGATCAAGTAAGAGTAAAATGATTTAGAACTACACAAATTTTATCAAATTTGGTATGAGACAATCTTAGTAGGACGGAACGAAAAGGAAGGATGAGATAATCTTAGCGGGACGGAGGGAGTAGTATCTTTTAAGTTGGAGGCTTGGAGTCTTCGGGAGGCATTAAGTTGGGTTAAGGCAGGTGATAGTCTAATATTTTCAACAAAATGGTACTGGTGGAAGACTATCAAAGGCTCCCATGACATATGAGAGTTATTGGAGAAAACTTGTGAATTCCATCCGATGAGAGTTAACAAGTATAACTAAAAGGTTCCTTATTAATAGTAACTTTATTGAATATGTTGATTACGGTAATTTGTTTCAAAAAAAGCAGAATCTATGATATACCCTCAAAGTACTCTATCGAGGTCCGACCCTCACAAATTGGAGACCCTGTGGAAATTAAAACAAGAGCCCCTAAAATACATACATATCTACATAATATGCCTTTTGTTCCAGATATTACTAAAAAAGGGATAATAGACTAAAAAGTGATGTCTTTTTAAAATTTTAAAAAATGTGACCAATATCACAATTAATCCCTGCAGTATATAGTGACCAAGTGACTTCGGCATAGTGACTCGGCCAGTGACTTCCGCCGCCGCCCATCCAGTGATTGCCGCCACCCCCCATCCAGTGATTGCCGCCGCCGCCCCATCAGTGACTGATGCCGTCCTCCGGCCAGTGACTGAGGCGCACCTCCAACTAGTCGTTGGGGGCCACCCCACCGACCAGTGACTACAGATGTCCCACCGTCCAGTGACTATCAACGTCCCACCGGCCCGTGACTGTCGTTGCTGCCTTGACCAGTGACCTCCACCCCCGACACTACATAATTAGCATGATCCACAACCCTAGTCAGCAGAGCCTTCGCCGCCGTCGCCAGATCTGATGCAACCATCACCTGTTGCTGCCCCCTTCACTGCCGCCACCCCTGCCCCGTCCACAGCCACCACACCTGCCCCACCCCAGCCCTTTCGCCTTCCCCTAGCCGCCTACTCCCTGTTCCCAGCCCCCCTCCCTAGATCTACGCTCTAGACCCCTACATCCTACGCACCGGATCCCCACCCAGCCCCTAGCCCCTAGCCCCTTTACCCAGCCCCCTCCCCTAACCCCTGTCATTCCCACAGGCCACTCTCCGACATCGAGGATGGTGGATCTGCCACCCACTGTGCCAAATCTGAGACGTCATTTACGGAGGTAGGCAGATCCTGAACTGGCGGCCCTAAATCAAGTCGTAAACCGTCATGAAAGGCGAATCCGTCACCGTCACCCATAGTTCCAGTGGAGGCGGGATCGTCGAGGACTACAGAGAAGTAGTCGACTTTAGTTGCAGCCGACGGAGACAGTGAATGGCAGCGGTTGTATCGGTGAAGAAGAAACAAGAAGGAGAAGAGTTTCCGCAGGGCGGCGACGACGACGGGAGAAAGGTGGCGGCGACGACGGAAGAACATTGGCGGCGAAGCCTAGAAGAAGGAGATGGAATGGTTAAGCCTATAGGAAGAAAGACGGGTGAAGCTAAAGCAAAATGTCGAAGACAAGAGAGGTGGATGGGTATCTAGGGAGTACATAATCTACATGTACTCATTTCATTACCTATTCCACATAATCTGTTACCTCACTTATGGTTGACCATAAGCCTGCCCTTACCTGGTGCACTATCTGTTGCCTTGTGCTTCGGGTGCCCTTTTTTGTCTTGAACACCCGTGACTTAATAATTGTGAGAGTCCTATTATATCTATGTGTGTCTCTCTTCTTCTTGGGGGTGGCGTGAAAACTAGGTACAATGAGGTGTGTGGAGTGTAAGTGTGAGTGAGACAGTGTGGCCAAAGTCTTCTTCCTCTTTGTGAGTGAGAGCTAGAGAGGTGAGATTAGAGTGGGCTAAACTTGGTGAGTTGGTGGAGTGGCTAAACAGTCCCGGGTGGTGTGTGTGAGTTATTTTGGTTGGAGACCTGAGTTGAAATACACATCTTAGAGTGGTATCGAAACTGATTTTTAATTATCAAATCTATGCAGTAAGTCCCGAGAATCTACAGGTCCACTATCCAAGGAAACAACTCCAGTTACCACCGATCCAGTCTTACTCAGACGCTTCTAACAGTTTTGAGCATTCCGACGACTCTTTCTTCACATATGACTTTTTGGGACATGCAACCGAAAGCAACCATCGTCCTCCAATCTCATAACCGGAAGAAATCAGGAGGTCCAAACTCAATATAGCGATTTGCCGCAAAGTAATTTTGGTAAACTTGGAAAATTACTTGCCATAGTTGCCAACAGACAATCTGAACACGCAACTAAAAATTTACAGGAAATCTCAGAAAAACAAAATGCGGCCTGAGTTGCTGTTGGAATTGCATTGTTGGAGTTGATGTGTGCAGTACTAGCCTTGGGTGCTGATGATATTCCTGAAGCTGCCACCATGGCCGGTGGTTTTTGTTAAAACATTTGTCCCACACCGAAGAGTTATAAAACAATAGAATACTATATAAGGCTTTGAGCTACTCCTCCTATCAGATTGACCTTTTAGGATGGAACCCCGAGTCTTAACATGGTATCAGAGCCAATTTCGGTTGTGGTTTGACGGCTTGTTTAGCACCCATGATTAATGGCCTGTTTGGATGGAGTGTTGGGTAGTGTTACCAATGGAAGTGTTGAGAATTGTTAACATTAACACTTGTTTGGGTGAGAAATTAAGAAGTGTTAGAGAGTGTTAATAAAGGTTAGGAAGTGTTAGTAATTACCTTCCCAACACCTCAATTGTCTACTTTTTTAACACCCCAATTTGGAGTGTATTGAGGTGTTGACAATTAATACCCTTCAAATTGATCGATGTCTCATTCTATTGCCGCACTCTTCCCTTCGCCTGTTCTTCTTCCGCAGCTCTTCTCATCTGCCACAACTTTTGGCCTTCATCCCATCTCTTCATCTGCCGTCACTTTTGCTTGCTTCATTTACTTGCTTGTTTTTGTTTTTCTTTATTGACATGTATATAGATAACTAGCGTGGGCGCGCGCGTTGCGCGACGGTCAGGGCCCAACGCTTGGTAAAACGAGAAAACTGTACTTTATAAAAAAACATGCGCAAGTACATCACAAAGAATGAACTTATGGGAGACCTCTAACATTTCAAATACCTAATTTAAAATCAAAACAGAAAAGAGCAGTTCAAGTATTGTAGGTACATCATTGTAGCTGTTTAGTACCATTCAACACCTGAAATATAAGCAAAAGCATGAAAAAAGTTGTCAATAATTGCAGTTACATTAAAGATGGGAATCAAACAATAAATAAGAAAACATTATTACAAATTAAATCCTAGCGAAACCGGCTTTATACATTCAGATGAAACTTGGTTTTGTTTTATGTTTTTGAAGAAAAAGCAGAATTTTGTAAAGCATGTTATAGGCTGAAATATCTATAGTTCAAGAATTATCATAGGGTTAGCTTTTGTTTGGGTAAAAGGCTAAAGTGAGTTTGAGATTGAGTGTAATGAACACACAATTTGTTCCTAGCTGCATTTGGAGATAGAACAATACCACAATCTTTAAGTTCGAGAGTATTCCTAGATGTACCTGGAGACAGAAAAATACCATAATCTCTAAGTTTGAAAATATTCCTAGCTACATCTGGAGATGTAACTTCCAATTTTTTTCTGAAAGTACAATGAAATAAGATATGCAAGCTTGATATGCCAAACCATTTATCAGAAACCATAACCATATAGATGTTTTGGCAGATTAGTGGGCATGGTGTGGTATTGCTTGCATATTTTATTTTATTATACTTTCAGAAACAAGCTGGAAGAAGTTACATCTCCAAATGCAGCTACGAATATTCTCGAACTTAGAGATCGCGATATTGCTCTAAATTAAAAGGCTAATAGATACCGTGTTGTGATAAGTCCGTATTTAGACACGCATTTGATGCGTGTTCGGGTCAGATTTTGATGGTTTTTCTAGCTTTAAGGCATTGCAAGTCTCAATTTTGGCTCAAGTTGTGTTTAGCAGGCGTTGGATCGAGTTTCATTGCAATTGAAGTTGAAATGAAGAAGTTAGAGTCTGTCAATCGGCGCTTGAGAGGCATTCGGGAAGGATTTTAAGGCATTCAAGAAAGATTTGAGAGATTTGGAGGTCACCGGGAGATTCACGACGAAATTCTGATGAAGAAAGAGCAATTGGATCGACCTCGTAGGCATTCGGGAGCATTTGGAGCAAGAAACGAAGAAAAAAGATGAAGAAAAGGTCAGGCACGATCGTGCCTGCATTAAGGATTGCACGCCGAGACACTGCCAGCCAGACACGATCGTGTTCGGGGTAGGCACGA